TTGCCTTCGTGACCAACAATTACCACAGTGTAGAAGGGGTGATATGCTTAAAAGATATTGGCAATACTGACAGCTGCACCTGCCAGTGTGAATACATCGCGGGTCTGCTGGTCACACTGTTTGCTGCCTGTGTGCCTCAGTGGAGACAATGCCAGGGTTCCGTTGGTCAATAGCGCAAATAAAGATGGAACTGTTGTTCTCTGCCAGTTCCTAGAAGTCCTGAAACCTGCCATTGTAGCCGAGGCTAAGAGCCCCGCTCTGGAATTTGTCCCCATGCACCAGGAAGTCAGAAAACAAGCTTCGATGGAGCAGGTGCTCCTCAGAGAGGCTGGAGGAGAGGCCACATCTACACAAAGCCTCAAAGGGTTTAATGGCAGGTCAACTGTGTAAGTGTTTATTATTTGAAGGAGTTGTCAAAAGAGCGTTGTAGCAAACCAGGGTGCGCTCTTCGTTTAGGAGCTGCACCCACTTTAGAGGGGTGACTACTGAGGAGAGGAGCGGAGAGCATTCACAACATATAATAATGTCGAGTGAGTGCTTGCGTGCAGCCTCCAACACTTTCCATGCAGAATCTCCTCGAAGCTTCACTGCTCTAGAACTTGGACTTTCTTACGTACTCGCAAAGAAGAAGCCGAGCAGACACCGCCCAGGTCATAGGGAGAGCGTGGCAGCAGGCTGTCTCCAGAGCTTGACTCCGCGTGTGCGACTGGGGGGAGGACTGGGCTGTGATGCAGGGACAGTGGCAGCCAGAAGCTGTCCCTAAGGAACCATACGGTCCGATCATAAACTGGAGACTCGGCAGGCAGCACAGGGTTCTCGACACTTGCATCCAGCGAGGCTTGGTGAGGGACACAGATCCTCGATCCATCGATCGAGAAGACCAGAAGACACTTGGCAATAAAGACATGCTTAGCGTCAAAGCTGACCTCAAGCGTCTCGGGGACGACGGCGAGGATTCGGTGAGCATTTCCGGGTTGGTCTGGGAGACGTGAGGGGCAAGCGTGAGGCTTCTGTGTGGAAGGTGTAGGAAGCGTCGCCCGGAGTGCCGGCTGCAAGGCTGCGCGGAGCCGGGAGGGTTCCCGGAGGCCCCTCCGGGCCAGACTCCTGCTCAGGGGCCCCGCCCGGTCGGCGCCGCTCGCAGCAAAGGAGACACGAGCGATGGGCGGGCCCAGAGTGTGGTTACCGCCCCTGCTCTCGGGGTTTTCAAACAGGTCCGGCACTTTGCTATAAAAGGGCTGCTTGGCGCCGACGGGAGTGGTGCTTCCGTAGCGTTGCGGTGGTGTGGTGACGATGTCTGGTCGCGGCAAAGGCGGGAAGGGCCTGGGCAAGGGTGGTGCCAAGCGCCACCGCAAGGTGCTGCGCGACAACATCCAGGGCATCACCAAGCCCGCCATCCGGCGGCTGGCCCGGCGCGGCGGCGTGAAGCGCATCTCCGGCCTCATCTACGAGGAGACCCGCGGGGTGCTCAAGGTGTTCCTGGAGAACGTGATCCGGGACGCCGTCACCTACACGGAGCACGCCAAGCGCAAGACGGTCACGGCCATGGACGTGGTGTACGCGCTCAAGCGCCAGGGCCGCACCCTCTACGGCTTCGGGGGCTAAGTATTTCCTTCCTGCCATCAAAAGCCTGCGATTCTCACCCAAAGGCCCTTTTCAGGGCCGCCTATTTAGTCACAGAAGGAGTTGGCACGCTTTTTGGTTCTGGTGTTTATTTAAATCTTTTCCAGACTGTGAGGTTCAATCCGTGAAAGATAGTGTGGAGAGATCGCCTGCGTGCTTTCTGTCGGCCGTGTTCCTCCAGGACCCGTTTTTTCCCGGTTTCAAAAGCATCTTGGCAACTGTCCTTGTTCAGGTTTGTTTTACCAAGTCTGGGCTCATCT